CAAGCGAATTATTGAAATAAAATTGAACCATATGTTAGTCTTGAAATTTCCTAGTTTATGTCGAGTGGACGTTAAACCCCATTTCTCTCTCTTTCTTATTTATCTATTTTTAAACTATCTAATGTTAGATTCCCACTTTCTCCATTCGTGCTACGATTGAAATAATGGTTTTAATCGTGGATTAAGCGTGTTCATCCTATCAGGTCTTATCATAAATTGAGGTCAGTCGTAGCAATTGTATTGATCGTATCAAAACGTATCCGAAACGTATCTGCACACACCAGATCGCGGACTCAATAGGGAAATTCCTATTGTAAAGCATCGCACGACAGTGGGAACCTGGCATTAGCAAGAACGTACAACAAGTTAATCTATCTATATATATATTTGTGACTGTCGTCTGTCTGTCTGTCTGTTCGGGGTTGGCGGCTACACTAGGTCTGCCCCGAGTCTGAAATTTTGGGTATAGGGGTAGCTCGGACCGGGGAGTAACATAGGCCAGGTGGTGTTAGTCTACCGCTTCCGGTTTCGGAGTTATGACCCCCGGGCGAAGTCTGTCTGTTCGGGGTTGGCGGCTACACTAGGTCTGCCCCGAATCTGAAATTTGGGGTATAGGGGTAACTCGGACCGGGGAGTAACATAGGTCAGGTGGCGTTAGTCTACCACTTCCGGTTTCGGAGTTATGATCCCCAAGCGAAGCCGGTCTGTTCGGGGTTGGCGGCTACACTAGGTCTGCTCCGAGTCTGAAATTTGGGGTATAGGGGTAGCTCCGACCGGGGAGTAACATAGGCCAGGTGGCTTAGTCTACCACTTCCGGTTTCGGAGTTATGACCCCCGAGCGAAGCCGGATATCTGTCTGCCTGTCTGTTCGGGGTTGGCGGCTACACTAGGTCTGCCCCGAGTCTGAAATTTGGGGTATAGGGGAAGCTCGGACCGGGGAGTAACATAGGCCAGGTGGCGTTAGTCTACCACTTCCTGTTTCGGAGTTATGACCCCGAGCGAAGCCGGGTGTCTGTCTGTCTGTTCGGGGTTGACGGCTACACTAGGTCTGCCCCGAGTCTGAAATTTGGGGTATAGGGGTAGCTCGGACCGGGGAGTAACATAGGCCATGTGGCGTTAATCTACCACTTCCGGTTTCGGAGTTATGACCCCCGAGCGAAGCCGGTCTTTCCGGGGTTGGCGGCTACACTAGGTCTGCCCGGAGTCTGAAATTTGGGGTATAGGGGTAGCTCCGACCGGGGAGTAACATAGGCCAGGTGGCGTTAGTCTACCACTTCCGGTTTCGGAGTTATGACCCCCGAGCGAAGCCGGGTATCCTGCTAGTATGCTATAAAGTCGTTGGTTGTCATCTGTATTTTAGGACAATATTTTGTATCTAATGTTGTACAGCTTAAACAGGCATTATTCAAGAGGTAAATCTGCCTATTGTAGGTCTTGCCTTAGGCCTTAAATGTTATATCTATCTATATATATATATTTGTGACTGTCTGTCTGTCTGTCTGTTCGGGGTTGGCGGCTACACTAGGTCTGCCCCGAGTCTGAAATTTGAGGTATAGGGTTAGCTCGGACCGGGGAGTAACATAGGCCAGGTGGCGTTAGTCTACCACTTCCGGTTTCGGAGTTATGACCCCCGAGCGGCTACACTAGGTCTGCCCTGAGTCTGAAATTTGGGGTATAAGGGTAGCTCGGACCGGGGAGTAGCATAGTTAGTCTACCACTTCCGGTTTCGGAGTTATGACCCCCGAGCGAATTCTATCTGTTCGGGGTTGGCGGCTACATCTGCTCCGAGTCTGAAATTTGGGGTATAGGGGTAGCTCGGACCGGGGAGTAACATAGACCAGGTGGCGTTAGTCTACCACTTCCGGTTTCGGAGTTATGACCCCCGAGCGAAGCCGGGTATCCTGCTAGTAAACTGTTAATTAGACATTTATTAATATGACATTTATTAATCAAGTCTCGATGCCATCGGATAGGTCCATTTTTAAGTAGGTTAGAACAGTGCAGCCATTTAATGATTTAATCTAAAGTACGGTGGTTACAATCAGTGCACACATCTTGCCAAACCTTCAAAGGCTAATATCTTCGCTCAGAATAAAGAAATTTGAATGAAATTTTCAATATATTGATTTCTTATTATATATTTTTGAACTCTTATAGCAAGAACGGTCATCTCATCTAAATCTTACATAATGCATCTTTAATCCACGCTGAAATATACCCTGATTGATTATTTAATATTTGATAAAACAATAAAATTATCAACGATAGATAATCTCCTGGTATGGATTTAGTCGGATTATAATAATAATAAATAATGTGAATATTTGTATAGCTATTCCACACTGACTGTATGCTCATAGCGCATGCAAAGAGTTCAGTTTTCTACAATTCTAGCAACAATTCAAAGCACATTTCTAAACATAGCGTTGGAACAGATAAGTCTTCAATGATGATTGGAAAATTGATAGGGTTGGGCACTGTTTCAAATGATTAGACAGATTATTCCAATGTGAAGCTGCCAGATATGAAAATGATTTTGCTCTAAAAGTTTTTAAATTGTAAGTTGGTACCTGTGACTGAAAGTTATTTTTTGACCTTAGGTTCCTAGAGGTTAAATGTTCCTGGACAAGTTCCTGGAGGTACATAGGTGCTATTAGACAGATTTTAGTGATGATTATTGGGCGTATTGGCTTATTTTGGTCATATCCCATTTATATCGTCAACAGAGGATGAGGATTATTCAATTCATCAGATTTCTTGTAAAAGCTGGACGGAACTTAATGATTATTGGACTAAATGTCCCCAAATCGCATTAGCCCCCCCCCCCCCCCTCAATATTTAGCCGACAATAAGGATTTTTTACGAGTGATCAAATTGGTAGGCGACCCATATGATCGTAGCATGGTCCACCGAGGCCTGTCTGTCATCATCACCCCCTGTAAGGATAATCAAGAAATCCGGCGAATAAGGTAAGCCGCTATGCTGTTGATATCTGAATGAGCCGCGCCAGCATGAGTCGCTTTGTTTTGTTTACGCGCGTTGCTACGATACCAAGTGTCCGTCTGTGTCAATCATTCATTCACGCAAATTTCAAACTGCACGGGTTATTAGGAAGTGGTTGTCCACCTCATTACCCTATAGGAAGAAGAATAGTTCAAAATAATCTCGAGCTCTTGATGGTACCAAAGGCGCCGGTTCAAATGTTTGCATTTGCCTACACCCGATGTGGGGTGCCTATGGGCGCCTAAAATGTAGGCGCCTATTGTGTCTAACATAAGGTGCCTATTGTGCAGCCTACACTGTTACTCTATAAATAGAATAAGAGAATACCTATGGTTCACTTGAAATTTGATACTACAGCTGTATTGCCCGGCCTAGACTTCTCCGCATAAATCAAAAGACACTCTCTACTACCCTAAGATGATATGGACGGGTGGAGTTGAAGAAGGAAATTTCAGAAGAATCAGCCATAAAACCCTGCCTGAGGCAGTTAAATTTGAGGCCCAGGAATGCACTCAGATGCGAGGAGAGAGCACCAAATTTTCAAAATTTTCTGGGAGAGGACATCCACACCACCCGACCTACCCCCCACCCTCTGGCTCGCGCCATTGGCGCTTTGACACATTCTCAGACCCTTCCAAAAACTCCATAGCCCAACCAAGTTTTACGAGCTGGCTACGGGGGACAACGCAACGGGAAAGCCTCTGCAAAGTCACTCGACTCACTCTAGCTGCCTTCTACATATTAGTTTCAAACTTGTGAGGGTGGGGACTTAGAGAGGTTTAATTTATCGTTGCGTTTTCTTTTTTCTGCACTAGCGGCAGCCACTGGGACGAGTTTATGGTACAAAATGTGCACTAGGATTCTTAACGTTTAATTTATGGACCTGAATCAAGTAATGATGCAACTATAGACTTCTGCCGTAACACTAACAGCTATTGTTAACATTATGTTTCTGTGTTTTATAAAGCGCTTAGAAATTGGTCGACTAAAATAACGAGCTTTACAAGTCAGACTAAAATAACGAGCTTTACAAGTCAGACTATAATAACGAGCTTTACAAGTCAGACTATAATAATAAAATAATTAAATCACCTTCGTTAGTCTTAACAGTGGTTTTATAAAGCGCTGAGAAATGGCTTGTCTATAATTGTTATTACTGTATCTTTTATCCGTCAAAAAATAGAAACTGTAAATTAATTGTCTGGATTTTCGCTGGTTAGTTTGTGTCTTTTCAAAAATAATATGGCGGAACTTTTCGAAAAAAAACCCAAAGGATTGTGATTTATGGGACATAAAGATATTAAAGATACACCTACACAGCTATGTCTTGAAAGGAAAGCTTGAATTTTGACCAAATGTGATGAGTGGCCTTTACGCCGTCAAAACAATCTAATCTCTATCATCGTGTTCGCATCCTTTTATGGGCATATAATGCATCTCTAGTATATAAAGTCCTAGAATGCTGAAAAGCAACTACAGTGTTCCTCTTTTCATGAGGAAAATATGTTATGCGAAAAGTCTATTGCGTCAACAGGGTTCTCGGGAAAACGTGAATGGGGTGGGGACTCCTGCACGTAAGGTCCTGTCATGACCTCAATGCTTCACACCAAAAACTGTAACCTGTGTAGCTTTGACGGACTGCTGGGTCTACGGCTGTATGATAAAACCACACGATAAAAAATTTTGAGTCACATAATCAGGTAACCTCTTGTCCTATATCTCTCCTTCGCCAGCCTCAAATTTCACCAAAATTAGACATGACAGAAACGTCATTAAACAAAAAAAGTCTTGCAAAGTGGGAGGGGGCGTGTTACAATTCGTTAGTAATCAATGGCGGGGAATGTTTGGTGGTCTGATTCCATGCAATTTTATCTATCCCTAATGTGACATATTAAAATAATTTGTTTGTTAGCATATGATAAACAATCAGTGGCTATTCAAATAACGTCATTGGTGACATTTATTAATGAACAATATTCACGTACTATATATCTGATTAATGGTAACACAATGGGGAATTCATCAATATGATTTACCGCGATGTGTATTCAGTATTCAGCTCGATAATGACGTTAACATTAAAGGAGCAAAGTCTTCAACTACCCACAGTCTTTTACATTGCAAACACGACTTATTGGTCAATTTAAATCAACATTGATGTTGTTAATTTTATCGTGAAACGTGGGGTTTCTGATATCCGATATTTAAGACAATATGAAAATTTTAAAATTGGCACGCGATTCGTGTGCCAGAATGCTTTCGAGCGCCAGTTGTATTAAGCGACGCGATGAACTAGGATAAACATATCCCATGTAGGAGAATACTACCGGTGTAGACTGAAATAACTAGACGCCAAAGACTGGCATTCAATTAAGACTCTTCTCGTTTTTCGCCGAACATAACTCATGATTAGAAATTACAGTAACAACAGAAACGATTGAATGTAAATCAGTTTATATACATTCATATTGTATTCTTATACGCGTTGCGACCCAGCTGTGTCCATTTCTAGAGATTTAGCTCCTTTAACACAGTTTTTCAATCCAAAACAAAACCCCGCTTACGTACTGTTACTATAAATAACACAAGCACAAAACTCAGTCATGATATTATGGACATATAAATTATTGGACAGTGTAAGCCACAAATGGAAAGATTGCAAAATACAGGAAGGCGATTCGGCTTTCCAGGGTTTTGTAATAAACAACAACTCAGTCTGGCCGACTCAGTCAACGTCAAATAAAATACCCATATTAAACACTAGATCTTCGTCCTAATGTACATTGTCTGCGATATCACCTCGGTGGAAGCGGACGTAAAATACAACTAACTCATCATCATCCTAATGTACATCGCTAACAGATCTAGGACAAGCTCGCCAACTTACCATTAAAGCAACAAGAAATTCGACAAGTTCAATCAATGATAAAATACTGGCTCCGATAAATAATCCCATGTTACCACCGATATTACCTGTAAAAAACAAAAGTTGGGTATACATTCATTAATTCATTCAAAATGATCCGTGTTCAATTGGCATTCACAGTCGTTCGGATAAGACGAAATAACCGAGATCCACCATTGTACACCTTGATGTAGACGAAAAAGAACCCTTAAAGGTTGGAATTCAATTGATGTCCAGACAAATATTCCCTCATAGCACACTGCATGGATTATGCAGAAAAGTAGGACGTTAAGCCCATTTCACTCATTAAGAGGACAGTGAAGAGGCTAAATCTATTTGTTAAGGCTAGCTCAATTTTTGTCAAGGTCGCTGAGATGTCAATAAGATTAGGGCGCGGTATTGTCAAGGTCGCTGAGATATCAATAAGATTAGGGCGCGGTATTGTTGGCGAGATTGTAGTTTAGGGTAAGCATTGGGGTTAGGTATGGCCTTGTTAGGGTCAGGGTTGGGATTAACGCTAGCCCTGTTTAGATCTCGTGACCTATGACAAAACATTGAGCTGGCCTTATCATTGAGCAATAACCCAGTGAAGAAATTGAGCTGGTTGGCTATAATTATTGGACACGAATCATTCTAGGCTAAAAATGTTATCTGGATCATAGCGCTACAGTTAAACGGACATTTGTTCCAAGTAGCCATGTTTCATTGCAAGCATGATTACAGACAAGAAGAAACAAGCTGGGAAAATTAACATCTTATGTAAAACAGAAAAAGTGCTCACCAAAAACAGTTTCTACCGTAACCTGTGCTTTTTGTTCAGTGACTGTAACTGTTGAAGATTCATAAAAGATTCTTAAATCAAAACCATTTTCTCTATGAAAAAAATAAATGGGCATTAGGTAAGATCAGATAAAGAACTGGCCGGTCTCGCTATAATAGTTACAAAATAGACAGGGAATATGTTCAAAATGTCAGTCAAATTTCTGGGCCTAGGTTTTGCCGATACAACATAGTCTAGCCTCGACTGTCATTGCTACCGTTGTCACGGTAATAAACAATGTCTCCATTATCCATTTCTACGGTAACCGCATCAACCACAAAACGTATTTCAGTCTACTTAATATCCGATGGCATCAATAGTTGATTACGGTCTTGGTAAGTTAATTAATGTCTAATTAATAATTTAGATAACATTTAAGGCCTAAAGAAAGACCTGCGATAGACATATTTAGCTCTCACATAATGCTTGTTTAATTATGGGAAGTCATGTACTTGAATATTTACGATCTAGACATTTTTCAAAGACCATCTTCTTTTCAATAATCAAAAGAAATGACATGGGTTTTAACTTCTGGTTAATAGATAATGGAGACGGGATATGAGGGAATTCTGCCCTGACAGCGGTGTGTGATAGCCCTGACACGCACGAAAGCCTCCTCTTATTTACATTTCCAACTGTTGGGGAATTTTTAACGTGCTACCAACGGGACCTCGGGTTTGCATCCCATCTGAACGACTAGGTACTGTTCCTCTCCACACCCCCTTCCCACACCCTCCTTCCTCTGAACCCGAGATCTGCTGGTTATCTTAGTGAGCCAGCGCCATACTCACTGAGCCACCCCACACCCTCACGGAGCCCCCCCCCCCCACTCCAAGTCATCCCACACTCTCACTGGACCACCCTACACCCTAACTGAGCCCCCCTCCAAGTCATCCCACACTCTCACGGGGCCAAACCACATCATCAGTGAGCCATCCCACCCCCTTCAAGTCATCCCACACTCTCTCTGACCCACACCACACCCTCAGTGAGCCATCCCACCCCCTCCAAGTCATCCCACACTCTCTCTGAGCCACACCACGCCCTGAGTGAGCCACCCCACCCCCTCTAAGTCATCCCACACTCTCACTGAGCCACCTCACACCCTCACCGAGCCACCCCAAGCCACCTACACCCTCACTGGGCCACCCACACCCTCCTCGACATCATTCTAAAACTTTTATAAACATATTACCATTGTGATGTTTACCATCAGCAGTGACCACACCAAGAATCCCGTAGTCAATAGAAACAATTGCATTTTAGCAACGATAGTGAAGTGGAGGTTGGGGGGGGGGCAATGAAAACCAGTCCGTTGGAGGTTGGGGTCGGGGGCGTCACTAACATAGCTTTAAGTTATTAGAGTGTAGTACCTGACATCAGATTCACTGGAAAGCATTTCTGCTGTATTCACAAGAAAGGATTGCATGAAGTTTGAAAAGTCAGCAACGGATATTGCGAAAGGAAATTGTTCTTTGATACACCGGCCTGGACAGTCACATTTTTCGAACACCGCTGAATAATTGGTTTCCGCTGGAAATTGAAAAAAGATTGTACAATATAAGTTAGAAACTAGAACACCATCACTCTGTCATCATCATTCTGAGTCCCAAGGTACCAACTATGACAGAGTACATTATTACAAACAACAGGGGCGTGTGCAGAAAAATGAGCGCGGGGGGGGGGGGTGCTTCGGTGTGTCTGACCGCGGAGCCTCGAGGGGGGCTATGGGTTTTCTCCCCAGAAAGTTTTGTAAATTTAAAGTTGACTTTCTTGCATCAGAGGCCATATATTATCTGAAGGAGATTTACTCTTTTAAATGTATAAGCTCTCTCCTAGGCTCTCTTCCCCTGGATTCCCCACCCTACCCCGGGACACGCGCCTGAACAAGGTTTATTTAAAGCGTTATAAAGTTGTCTTGAACGGTATCTGTAATATATGATCTGAAATAATAATGGTTCAAACAAATGGAAACACAAACATTATTAATAATCAATAAATACCTTTTTTTGGGATGTAACATTTATTTAATTCTTGTAGAGAACAATATTTATCGGTACCTGAAACCAGTATATTATATAGTTGATCAATAAACAAATTAAATAAATTACTTTCATCAATAGAATATTTCAGAATTCTACAATAATGAGATTTTTAAACATTTATTATAACATTTATATCTTGCAGTTTTTTGTTCTTTTACTAATTGCACTATTATTACTGACAATTACAATGTATGTGGACAAGGCATCGGTAAGGTTTCCTAACTTTTGTCCCAATCCGTTTGTGCTCTATTTATGTACTGGTACTACATTTAAACAAATTAACGCTAACAAGCACCTATAACAAATACAGTCGGTTCTAATCGGTAAACAGACACACAATTCTGGAAATTATTCCACAGTAATATCTGTTTCGAAAGTGCCAAACATAACATGCATTATGTACTATACACCCACCAGTGCTAGTTAGATGCGAATTTAACAGTCATCAACAAATACCTAATGACCCCCCCCCCCCCCCACACACACACACACACACCACCACCACCACCACCACCACCAGAGATATTGACAATAATAGGGTGACGACCATACCATGTCTGAAATGGGGGAGGGTGGTCTAACGCATGCACTGTAGATCCTAAGATCTGTGTTTGGGTCAAGTGGTGTGGTTTGGATCCCAAGCTTGAGTATGATCGCATGTCCAAGCTCATAGGTTTTCTACCGGCCCTAAAATTTTCTACAACTTATTTAGACCCCATTGCGCACGGGAATTATTTTTAAAAACATTGAACTATATGTTATTCCAGAAATGTCATAGTTTGTGTTGAGTGGACATTAAACTATCTCTCTATCTCTCTGGTAAAAGAGAGGCCGAATAGTTAGCGCGTGCGCGCTGTATCATAAAGTCTGCCATTGAGTCAATCGGCGGGGTTTCGATTCCCCGGTTGTACGTGACAAGGAGTAGGGTTGCCTGTCCGACCGCGTGGGTTTTACTCCAGGTTTTCCGTTTTCCTCCCACTGCTAAAGACCCCTACGCACAAGCGAATTATTGAAATAAAATTAAACCATGTGTTTGTCCTGAAATGACTTAGTTTGTATCCAGTGGACTTTAAACCCCATTTCTCTCTCTCTCTCTCTCTCTGAAATTATACATAAAACACTCTTTTTTTTTAAAATTATCAACTAATAATCCAGTTTCCTCCCACTGCTAAAGACCCCTACGCGCAATCGAATTATGGAAATAAAAATTGAACCATATGTTAGTCCCGAAATGACCTAGTTTGTGTCGATTGAACGTTAAATCCCATCTCTCTCTCTCTCTCTCTCTCTCTCTCTCTCTCGTAAAAGAGTTTAACGTTAGCTTGGTACCTACCCTTATCAAACATATTACGACAGTTACAGTTTTTTACCAGATGATCCAACAGACAATTCATCTCACATGTATCTTGTGTGTAGATATATTCCTTGTATCTCTGTAAGGTTTTCTGATTTGTATCCAAACAATAATCAGACCCGAATGCTTTAAAAGGGCTACCGAGACCAATTACCTTAAAAAAGACAACACCTTACAAATGTAAAAGTTCATGGGTGCGAGATTAGCCAACCCGTTACTATCCGTGGAACTATTGTTAACCTTGTGGGGGTGGTCGGGACAAAGGATGGTGGATTAAGCACAGCGTGCAGTGCAGAGCGCAGAAACCAGGTGGTCCTCCCCGATTCCCATCCCTGAAATTGTTTTAAAAAAGATCCCACTTAGCCGCCCACAACCCCGCCCACACAACCGACTATAATTTACACATTATGATGTATATATCATCTGAATCCGTAACATCAGCACCACCCATTTTGAAACAATTACGGGGGGGGGGGGGCAATCAGGGGAGTATGGTAGCCGAATGGTTAGCACCTGCTCGTTGTATTATTAGATCTGTCAATGAGTCAACTGGCGTGGTTTCAATTACCCGGTTGTACGTAACAAGGAGTAGGTCGCCTGTCTAACTTCGTGGCTTTTCTCCTGGTCCTCTGGTTTCCTCCCACTGTTAAAGACCCCTACGCGCAAGCGAATTATTGAAATAAAAAATGAACCATATGTTGGTCTCGAAATGACGTGTCGAGTGGACGTTAAACCCCATTTCTTTCCCTCTCTTGAAACAATTATATGGGTTAATCATGCTATTCATCGCGTGGTAACAGAAACAAAAATCAATGACAAAACCTGATGAAAAGAATTGACTTATAATATACTAGCAGGATACCCGGCTTCGCTCGGGGGTCATAACTCCGAAACCGGAAGTGGTAGACTAACGCCACATGGCCTATGTTACTCCCCGGTCCGAGCTACCCCTATACCCCAAATTTCAGACTCGGGGCAGACCTAGTGTAGCCGCCAACCCCGAAAAGACAGACAGACAGACAGACAAACGACAGTCACAAATATTAGAAAAGATAGATAGATAGATTGAAACCGTGGAACTATTTCAATGTAAACTATGTACATTTATTAAATGCATTTTTATCAATTTTTTTTTTCGAAAGTCGTTAATAGCTTCTGAAATGGAATATAGATAATATCAACAATAACAAAATATTGATAGGTTTTAAATAGAAGGGAATATTGATTAACTAGCAGGATACCCGGCTTCGCTCGGGGGTCATAACTCCGAAACCGGAAGTGGTAGACTAACGCCACCAGGCCTATGTTAATCCCCGGTCCGAGCTACCCCTATACCCCAAATTTCAGACTCGGGGCAGATGTAGCCGCCAACCCCGAACAGACCGACTTCGCTCGGGGTTCATAACTCCGAAACCGGAAGTGGTAGACTAACGCCACCTGGCCTATGTTACTCCCCGGTCCGAGCTATCCCTATACCCCAAATTTCAGACTCGGGGCAGATGTAGCCGCCAACCCCGAACAGTCAGACTTCGCTCGGGGGTCATAACTCCGAAACCGGAAGTGGTAGACTAACGCCACCTGGCCTATGTTACTCCCCGGTCGGAGCTACCCCTATACCCCAAATTTCAGGCTCGGGGCAGACCTAGTGTAGCCGCCAACCCCGAACAGACCGGCATCGCTCGGGGGTCATAACCCCGAAACCGGAAGTGGTATACTAACGCCACCTGGCCTATGTTACTCCCCGGTCCGAGCTACCCCTATACCCCAAATTTCAGACTCGGGGCAGACCTAGTGTAGCCGCCAACCCCGAACAGACAGACAGACGGACAGACAGAAAGACAGACAGACAAACGACAGTCACAAATATATATATAGATGATAACAATAATAGATGTTGAAATGGAATAATAGAATTAATACACGAACTTACTTTTTGTTTTCGTACATTAACTAATGTGGTGGTTCCAGGACTAACAACAAATCCATTAGATGTCATCAATGGAGCCGACCCTGATTCGTGCAATAAAACCTATAACATAATTAAATTACCTTATAGTGCTTTAATAAAACATATAACATTATAGTACATTATAATACACGAGTATCAAACAACTATCAAACGTCTCTCAAAACTGTTTAAATACACCCAGGGGTATACTTTGTAAAATGAGTGTTTAAGAGATGTAATAAAATAAAATTCTATTTTAAGTAAGCGAAATATAACTAAACTTAAAGGGGGGGGGACTAAACCTGTAACTCGATATTATCCACAATATTCGAAATTAAAAATACGAATTCGAATTTAATATTGGTCTGTTTTAATCAATATCGCTGTTTTTATCTTATCGTAAAAATATGAGATCCTAATATTCAATATTAAAGACAAGATGACAATTTTAAAGTCATTACACGACGTCATCGCTTTATTGTTTCCAGTGTCATTTTTAAGGATCATCGAAAAGCATATCCCAGAAGATCACGAGGAACTAATTAAAAATGGCCAATTCACAAACCACTAACCAATATTCTTTAAAAACAAAAAAAAACGTGTAGAATAGACCAAGCAAACGAGTGCTGTTCCATTTGAACTGCTTTGCTTTCGCTTGGTTCTTTTCCTGTTTTCATTCGGGTTGGGTAATGTGAAGCCATTTTTTGTGAAAACTGATGTAGTAAAAAATCCCGTTCGCTGATTGGCTTTCTCGTATATGATCGTACAAATTCGTAAAACGATTTGATCGGTCAACACATACGTGGTACGTCGTTTCAGATTACAATTTTTTCAGAGCTTTCTGTAAAAAGCACCTTGATAATCGAAGCTATGGATGTGACAGCAGGAAGGTTCGCATATATACTAAAATGGCGACGTATATTTGCAGTAGCAGCGATAGTCGTATTTGGTACTATTTTAAATCGTATTTGGGGCATTATATCAAAAAATGCATTTACCTTAAGTCCTGCAAAAGTCATTGCTGAGAAAAAATATGCGTCTTGTTCAACGGTCCCCATTATCCTTAATCCACTTATTGAACTTGAACCATGTGACATCAACGGCGAAGACGTGTTAGTATTGAAACTATAACAGACTCCTAAATCTGTGATGACCGTTTCAAAGTAGTCAGCGCAGTTGATCACTTCACCCTCCCACACGCAAACTAGGAACATATCTTCCAGTCTATGTGCAGCCCTGAGGGCAAATTCGTGTAGATCATCTCCGGAATACGTCCTTGTGTCATTAGTAGTATTGTCGTCATCGGATGCATCATCAACACCCGATTCTACATCTAGAAGATAAGCGTCACTAAGGCTGAATAGAAGTTCATGCAGCTGTCGATCGTTGGGTATTCTGCCAAGGTGGAACTGGTTAGCATTACAGATGGTGACTGTGGGAAACTGTATTTGGGTATTGAATTCCAATCTTGTCTCTGTGTTTATCGGGTACTCATAATACTTAGTAAGAGATTCGTAGATCAAAAACGCTAAGCCACCAACCATACCAAACAACATCAAGGACCACAACGGTCTGAAAAAAGGAAGCTCAAAACCATTTTATACGCCCTAGTGTATGGTTATCCATGTCCGACCGATGTTTATCAATGTATTTCCATATATGTCTGTCTGTCCGTCGTTCCTCGGGCTCCCTTTGACATGTCAAGGGTTTAATTTAGATATATTTTCAAAATTATTGGAGTCTTTAGACGACTTATATGCTTGAAGGGGAGTCACGATGACCCAGTGAGTAAGACGTTGGCTCGCAAACCTGGAGGTCTCGTGTTCGATTCCGCGTTGACTGAGATCGTTTATATTATACATTCACCGCACCGAAAGCTTTACTTTTTATGTTTTCGATTGGTACTTATATGTCCGAAGTTATGTCCAAAACAATACCATCTGCTGATATACGTTTACAGGGGTCGGGATTAAATTCGTTTAATAACATCTTGGCCTCCAAAACTGACCAGCAAAAGAGCCTTGTCTATCTGAACTATTCCAGAGTACATTAAAATCTTGTAACCGCTCTACTAACGCCCCGTCAAAATAAATGAAATAGGATTTAACGTCCTACTGTTCTGTTAATGAAGACGGGCATGTGCCATACAGTGTGTCATGCGGGGGGGGGGGGGGTAATAAAACATATGTTAATAGAGCGATGGTTTGATATCAGATCAATCAGGAAGTTGGTTGGTATAATAGCTTAATTGAGCGATGGCTTTATTTCAGATAAAATAGAAACAGATTGACTTTTAGCCCGGACAGCGGCGCTACGACCTTCTCTTATATCGAATTCCAACTGCCAAGTGTTCTTTTACGTGCACACGAGACCTCGACAGCTTTAGAGAGACAACGCATACAAATGGATTAATTTTTATGGGCGGTGCGGATTTTATTTCCTACCTTCTAAAGGAATATAATTGTGGTTTGATCATCTTGGGAACACCATGGATTGTAACCGACTCTTCATAGATATCAACCATCTTCGCAGGTCGTAATGGCAGTCTGTTCTGAACGCTCCCCTTTTTCTTTTCATCACCCATAATTGTGCACGTCTATTGATTTAGGCTATTAATGAAAAGAAAAGAGAAAATTCAAACATTTCATTTTTAATATTAAGATAAAAGGCTAACCGTTATTGTTTTAATAGTTCACAAACAGATATATTGAAAATTTCAGCCAAATGACGTTGTTCTGGGGGGATTTATATAAGTTTGAAGTTTTTCTACCGTAGTCTTGATTGTTAAGTACCATTGCTACGATAATATCCCAAGTCCCGGTTATCCATTTCAACTTTACATTATTAAACAAAGCGGGTGGTATAATTCATTCAAAATATATGCCATCCGATTATCTAGAAAGTTGGGTATGAGTTTGCCATGTGAATAAATTGTCTAAATAATAAATTGTATAAGATGTTGAAGCGAGAGAGAGAGAGAGAAATGGGGTTTAACGTCCACTCGACACAAACTAGGTCATTTCGGGACTAACATATGGTTTAATTTTATTTACATAATTCGCTTCCGCGTAGGGGTCTTTAGCAGTGGGAGGAAACCGGAGGACCCGGAGAAAACCCACGAGGTTGGACAGGCGACCCTACTCCTTGCCACGTACAACCGGGGATTCGAAACCACGCCAGTCGACTCAATGACAGACTTTATGATACAGCGCGCGCACGCTAACCATTCAGCCATCCAACCCCCCTAGATGTTGAAGCCAGAAAAAGACCTATATTGCCAGGGTTAGTTTTTGCATAATGCATATTTAATAAAGTAGGTTTTTAAAAATGTTTAAACATGCTGAATTCAATAGAGTAAAATTTAACTTAAAACCCAATATTTGACAATTTGTTTAACCTTATTTTCTTTGCATATCAAATAAACGAAACCAGCTCATTTGGGCCACTCAAGCTTACATTAACAGTGATTTTATAATAAGAAAAAACAATACCATACCTCACCAAAGTTTAACGACGGTCCACCAGTTATTAATAATGTGTAAAACTTGCTAAAACCTTCAGCCCCATGCTTCTGTTTGATTGTTACTGACTAGAAAATATTCCATTTTAACAACGTTCCTCAATAATAAGTGAAACTTACTACCAAATGTTAGTCCTTAAAACATTCAGCCCCATGCTTTAATTGTTACTGACTAGACAATACCCCATTTTAACGACGTTAATCAGTATTTTGTGAAACCTATTAGTAACTGTTAGTCCCCATACCTCCGTTTATTTGTTACTGACAAGAAAATATCTCATTTTCACGACGACGTTCCTCAATAATGTGTGAAACTTGCTACCAAATGTTAGTACTTAAAACATTTAGCTTCATGTTCCGTGTAACTAGAAAATATCTCAGTTTAACGACGTTCCTCTGATTATCAATGTGAAACTTGCTAGCATCTGTAAGTACATCGAATCTCTGGTTGAAACTTGCTGACATCTGTCAGTACATCGAATCCACTGTCGCAGTTTAATGGATAAAGACCAGAAACCATTTCATATGTTTGTTATTCATACCTCTCTTCAATGGACTCTACTAATTGTTGTTAAAACGTGGTCGTGATTCTAGTATATAAAGTCTATCAGATCAATAATGGATTCTCATTTGGTTGTTAGTAATTGTAAATCACGATGTAAATATGTGTGTTAATCCACCAAATTGCTAAATGAATCAAATCGTTTAGTCTCGTGTTCAATTCCAATAGATACAAATAAAACAGTTTATTATTTCAACAAGATATAAAAAAACTTTGTGTTCGTCCGTAAACTCATTAATCCTAAAGTATGATATTCTGTTTGTTTTATAATCAAATTGAACTGAAATGAAATGGGGTTTAACGTCTTTAATGATGACGGGCTTACACCATACAGTGTGCTAAGGGATCTTTTACGTGCACGCAAATGTGTACACATGACATCGATTTTTCGTCCCATCCGAACGACTAGACAGCTGTCCTTGCCTTGCCCCCCATCCTGCACCACTGACAAGGGGAAACCGCGCCGGAAAATCCCGATGAACTTTCTCGGCCAACATCGGGATCGAACCCGCGACCTCCGGGCTAGCGAGCCAGCGTCTTACCCACTTAGCCACTTAGCCACCATTAAACAATATTTAACCACAATACCCAGAACCGTCTTATTTAACCAGACCCCACGCTTTTAGTGACGTTTTATTCCTGTGAGTGGTTGTGTATGTAGGGGCGCCAGTACACTGCTTTGTGGGTGGGTTTATAATTGTTAAGATATCCGACAGTCTTAATAATACCTGTCTCTCAATTTTAATAACAAACTTCTAAGTGACATTTTCAAGTGCCGAAAATGAACATTTTATTTTATAAGGAGAATGTATTTGTGGTCTGAATCGATAACGGGACAGGGGAGATCACTCTAGCTTGACAAAAATCAACAGGGGTAAAGTCGCAATTTGTTTCACAGACGTATTGTGAAAGCCGAAGGTCTTGTAATACCTCTGTATTAAATGACTGACAATTGTAGGTCCAAGCATGCCTTCTACGGGTAACGTCACATTGTTTACATTTAGAATGTTGTAGCCCCTCGTTGAAATCAGTGTGGTAAAGATGGGCCATGTTCTTGCAATTATTTATTTGAAAAACCTCCCTCTCTCCCATTCTAATGAAATATTATTTTTTTAATTCTACTGTTGTTTAATACACGGTCTTGTATTCATTGTTTATTATGTTAAAGATACATTATGGGATATTTTAATAGGGAGTTGGTCATTCTTGTTTTAACAGTTCAATAGGAGTCAACTATCTCTTCACCGTCTCCAAGAATGGCCGATCGTTTGATTGACAGGCGTTAACTCCACCTACATAATCTCGATTATCAAGTAACGTTTTCAATGGCTGTGGTACCGTTAGCCTATTGGGTTTGAGACGGGGTTGCAATTCAATTCGTATCACATTGAAAATAAGACTTTTAATATATAGATAAGAAGCGAAAGTTTGAAAGGAATGGACCAAATCAATGAGGCATAATTATAGCCGACTTCTTGTTAGCCTGCGTGTACTCTTGTACTGTAACTGGTAGTGGTAGGCCTACGTAACTCCCGAAGCAGACAAAATAGGAAACGTTTTCAATGGTTGTGGTACCGTTAGCCTATTCGGTTTGAGACGGGGTTGCAATTCAATTCGCATCACATTTATTTTTACTACAAATTAAAAATAAGACTTTTAATATATAGATAAGAAGCCAAAGTTTGAAAGGAATGGACCAAATCAATAATTATAGCCGACTTCTTGTTAGCCTGCGTGTACTCTTGTATTGTAACTGGTAGTGGTAGGCCTACGTAACTCCCGAAACAGACAAAATAGGAAACAGCGATCCGATGGGGCTGCAATTCAACTGGGGTGATGTTAGCTGCGATGTTTATCAATTTCCATAATTTTTCTGTAAACGCAAGTGACAAAAGAGCGTATAATACCGACATCCAAACTCTCATTTTAACCACAACTAAACATAATATCAAGGCCGTATATATCGGACTTTCAATCAAATTGACTGACACGCAGCCTCGCTCAACAGCGGCCTCGCTTCGTACACTCTATCAAATAGCCTCGATCGAAAATTTCCGGGAGTATGACGTCAACGTAACGGTTAATCTCCGCTTACGACGCCATTTAAAAATTTAATCAATCAATGAAATCCTCTTTAAATCCAAGCCGAATCCAAGCCATCCGTGGGTCTACAGAGTTGATTTTGTGCTTGTTGTGTAAATAAAGCTCTAATTTATGATTTCTATGGCACCTGAAGCCTAAATAAAGACTTGCAATAATCAGATTTAGCTCTTGCATAATGTATGTTTAATTTGTTATTATGTGGATTTCAGCACCCCATCTTTGAAAGGTTTGGTATTTTGTCATTATTATTGCATATCATGCGAATTGTGTAATGTTCATTACAACCAATCGCGACTCCCAGAGGTAAGGTTGCCCTTTATTGTTTATCTCTGGGGAAAACTCGTCGGCCATTTTGAATGTCACGTGATATATCTTTCCGTCGGTCGCTTCACAAAGATCCGAGATGGCGGCTCAAACTCGCGTTTCGTCAGAAATTTCGCATATTTAGCCGAATTGCGCGCTAAAATAGTTCCCTGTCAATCATCAAATCGGCTGAGTTCGGATGAACTTTTGTTGACAAGATGTGGAAAATGTTTCAAGGATCATTAATATGTAACGTTTGCATTAAAGAACCGATGCCTAAATGTCGAAACATCGGCAGAATTTCATTCAAACAAATCTAACCAATCATGAGTTACTAGAGGGCGGGGGAGCTCCGGAACCGGTTTAAACGAGTTGTAAACTTATCGCTAGGAGCCAAGATTGCATTACAACGTCATTTATCAAATAAATGATATTTTCTTTCAATAATTGTTCTGTTATTTCTATGTTGGCCTCACACGAACAAGGGGGGTTGGATGGCTGAATGGTTAGCGTGCGCGCGCTGTATCATAAAGTCTGTCATTGAGTCGACTGGCGTGGTTTCGAATCCCCGGTTGTACGTGACAAGGAGTAGGGTCGCCTGTCCAACCTCGTGGGTTTTCTCCGGGTCCTCCGGTTTCATCCCACTGCTAAAGACCCCTACGCGCAAGCGAATTATTGAAATAAAATTAAACCATATGTTAGTCCCGAAATGACCTAGTTTGTGTCGAGTGGACGTTAAACCCCATTTCTCTCTCTCTCACACGAACAATGAGATCTATTGTATATCCCATCCATATCCTTCAACACATTCATGATTTTTTTTTTAAATTGACACTTTAACGATTCGCTATTTTATAACTTACACATACCACATGTATATTTGCCTTTCTATTGATTGTAAATAGACATAATAAAGTTACGGTTTAATGATATATCAGTTTGCATTGGGTGGAATACCCAGGTTGGTTAAACCATTAAAACACTTAACAATTTGGTCAACTGGTTTTGTGAATTCTAAATTAAGAATATTCTCAACATGATTATTATTCTCAACTTTGAGCAAAGACTTTAACTGAGATTTTTTGGCGGGGTGGTGTGGGGTTAAGGTCATTTTTAGTCAGACAAATAGTCGCCGACCTACATATACTCTTCAAAAAAAAGTAGGGGATATTCAGAAACAATACAAAACTGCGGAAATGCCCTGCTGTTTTTATTAGAGGTAACCAGTGTATGTTAATAACAGGCCAATTGCCTACACATGAACATAAACAGTTCATATGGGCGGCTTATTTGACGGCCTCATTTCACTCGCAAAGAGATACACAGTGAAAAGTGAAAATGGACGTTTTTGATTTTTGTCTTAATAATGAGTAATTGCTCCACCAATCCTCAGACATTCAGCAATTCGTCGTGGCATGCTGCTAATCAACCGTCCAATCACGATTTGGGACAATCTGGCCCACTCCTCTTGCAGTGCCGCGGCCAATTCTTGCAGTGTTGTCGGTTGACGTTGAAGAACACGTCTCCCGACCAAATTAAACGTAACACACTAAAGCAAAGATACACAAAACAGTAAATCTTATACAAGAACCGATAGGAAAGCAAACATGGATAGGATAAACCAGCAAGCGGCAGTTTTCATCAACTCTTCCTTAAAGTGTCAAATTTGACAATGAACCCCTCCCACGCGTATGGCGCTATTGCGTGTCGCGCATGCAGCTCAATGGTTCTGTTGGGGCGATAAGTTCTTCATCTGTGAACATACTCTCAAAGCATGTCAAGTGTCCATGACTATTTATCATATCACAACCTGTATAGGTATTTGCATTTCGGGAGCCACGGTGGCTAGTTGGTTAAGACGCTGACTCGCTAGCCTGGAGGTCGGGTGTTCGATCCCTGCATTGGCCGAGAAAGTTCATCTGGATTTTCCGACGTGGTTTCCCCCTGTCAGTGGTGCAGAACGGAAGGCCTGACAAGTCTAGTCCTTCGGATGACACGAAAAACCGAGGTCCCGTGTATACATTGGAATGCACGTAAAAGATCCCTTGGCAGTTGGAATTCGATATAAGAGTAGGCGATAGTGCCGCTGCCCGGGCAAAATTTCCCTCATAGCACACTGTATGGCATATGCCCGTCCTCATTTGCCCAGCATTTAAGCAGAACAGTAGGACGTTAAACCCCCATTTCATTTCATTTCATTATTTGCATTTCAATATCCCCTAGTTTTTTGGTAGAGTATATTTGTACATGGGTTAGTGGTTACGGCCGATTGTGCATGCTTGAATTCGTTTTATTGAATCTTGATATCAAATTTGATAGGGCACAGTGAAAGGAATCTATAGGCTGTGATGTCATTTTGGTAGACGATTTACTTTATTCACGTCTGATTTCATCCTGGTCCTTCTTACTCATATCATGAATCATGAATATCCCCAAATTCTCGTAGAAAATGCCAATCCAATATCTTGTCTTCGATTCTAGACG